GGAGGCCGAGGTAGATGGATCTCCTGAGCTCAGGAATTCCAGACAACCCTGAGAAAAGTGAGACCTCTTCTCTACTAAAAATAGAAAAACTAGCAGGAGTGGTGGTGGCTCCTATAGTCCCAGTTACTTGGGAGGCTGGGGCAGGAGAATCACATGAGCCAAGGAGTTTGAGGTTGCCCTGAGCTATGAGGCCTGGACATTATCTATACCCAAAAAAAAAAAAAAAAAAAAAAAGGAATAAAAAAAACTATGTTTATCATATATTATTTTGAAAACTTCCCCTTTAGTTTGATATATTATGACTATTTTAAACTATTATCAAACTTATCTTGATCCTTTTTTAAGGTCATGACTCATTTTCTTATTTGGAGATATCTTAATATATTTCATCAATCCCCTCATTGTCTTCAGTGGTGGGAAGAGGATTGAGCCCCAAAGATGTTCACATTCTAAAATCTCCAGAAGTTGCAGACATGTTACCTTATGCAACAAAAGGGATTTGGCAGATGAGATTAAATCAATGATCTCGTTATGGGTAGACTATCCTGGATGATCTGGGTGGTTCCTAATGCATCACAAGAATCTTTACAAGTAAGAGACAGGAAGAGCAGGTCAAGTCCAACTCAGGGAGACATGTGAATGAAGGTCCTGCACTGCTGGGTTGGAGAGTGGAAGGGGAGTGTGAGCCAGGTAATGTGAGAGGCCTCTGGGAGCTTGAACAAGCAGGTGGATGGCTTCTCCTCAAGAACCTCCAGGTGGAGCACAATTCTGCCAACACCTTGATTTCAGCCCTTTTCAGTAAGCCCAGTCAGATCCATTTCCAACATATGCCTTCCAGTGCCATAAGAAAATAAATTGTGTTACCGTAAGTCATTCCATTATGACAATTTCTTGTACAGCAACAGCAAGAAGCAAATGCATCACCGTTACAAAGAGCATGATCAGAATGATGACTTTAGGTAGTCTTTGCCCAGTCTAGATTGTTTTCCTAGAATAAATTCCTAGAAAACTTTTAAGGTGCATATGGTCAAAACAGTTCCCAGAAAGTTTGTGCCAAGAAGTCCCCTTTTTCTTTGTTCCTAATGCCAGTTATAATCATTTCATTTTTCTGATAAATTAAGAGGTTAAAAATGGTCTTATTTTAAATTACTTTTCTTGGTTCTCTAGTGAGAATGAACATATATTTATGAGCTATTAATCTTTTACATTTTCATTGGCAAACCGGTTTTAATTTTTCCATTTCTTTTGTTAAATATTCTGTTGTTGACTTATCAATTCTTCATTTATTACTTATTAAGTAAGGTGCAAATATTTTCCTGTTTCCATGTACCTTTTAATGTTCTTTAAATAATAGTGGAAGCCCCTTCTCTCCATAATCATGGTCTTAACATATTTTTCTTCCAAACCTACGTTGGCTTATGTTCAAGCCAGGAGTATTATCTCCAAACATATGGTTCTCTCCCCTGCCTTATTCATCTGGATTTCCCATCTTTTGTTTCCCACTCACCCTTTCTGTTCCACCCATACCACTGAAACATAACTCTGCATGGGGAAATCCTACTACACAAGTAGTCCCAACCTTTTTTGGTACCAGAGGCCAGTTTTGTGGAAGATGATTTTTCCATGGATGGGGTGGGATGTGAGGAGCTTTAGGCCCAACTCTTAACAGGCTGTGGACAGGTACCAATGTAGGGACTACAGCCCACTACAGCTCTGAACCTTAAGGAAACTTTTGAATTTATCATTGGCACTAATGGTGCTTATCTTCCCTCTGTATTTTCACGAAAAATTGGTGGCAGGGAGAATATTTTAATTCATCTGGTAGCTACACAGGGCCTACATAGGAATTTAAGTAATTTGCATTTTTATTATTATTATTTCAGATTAATGTGAGGTCATAAACAATTAGGCTACAATGTTTGCATTTGTTAGGTAAAGTCCAGGTTGTAGCTGAGCCCCTCCCCCAGGAGGTATGCCATGTACCCTCACATTGCACCTGTTAAGGGAGAGCACACCTATCCCCACTTCTGCTGTCCCCTTCCCCCCACCTTGAATTTAATTGAGCTTTTCTGTTGTGTGAAAGTGTATTTGTTCCTCCACTGGCTTCATGTTAGTATTGAATATGAATCTGCAAAGGGTTGATAACTAGAATCTACAGAGAACTCAAATTAATCAACAAAAAAGGAGCAAACAATCCCATCTATCACTGAGCAAGAGACTTCAACAGAACCTTCTCTGAAGAGGACAGACAAATGGCCAACACACACACATGAAAAAAATGCTCATCATTCCTAATCATCAGAGAAATGCCAATCAAAACCACACTGAGATAGCACTCCAGTGAGAATAACTCACACTGCAAAGTCCCAAAGCTGCAAATGCTGGTGCAGATGTGGAGAGAAGGGAACACTTTTACACTGTTGGTGGGACTACAAACTAATACAGCCTCTTTGGAAAGAAGTATGGAGAATCCTCAAAGAATTTGAGTAATTTGAAATATGAAAAGATAATGTGGACATTCACTTGGATTCCAGTTAAAATGGATTCTTCCAATTCAAAATATGCCTTACTGGTTTCACAATTAACTTTTAATGTAACAGATCAAAGGTAAAAGTTCCAAATTAAGCATACAATCTCTGATATTCTTTTCTGAACACCCTCCACACTCACTATCTCTAGGGCTTTAGGAGAGTCCATCATATCCTAAACTTTATTGTCTAAATATCGAACAAAATCCTCATCAATTGTGGATTGATGCAGATAAGCATCATGCCATTTATTAAGTTAATGATTTCTTACAAACTTTTTATTCTGCAATTAAATTTAGCAATTTGGATGTAGCTTAAATATAGAAAATCTGTAGATTTTAAGGACATCTGTGGTGCCTTAAAATAATGCACAGTGCGAACATATTTTGTCCAGGGTAGGCTGAGACAAAACTAAAAAGAAAATGTCAGTTTTATCACATTAAAATATATCCATGAAATAATTTTCTTAAGGCTCTCCAAAAGCTAACATCCAAGAATTCAAAGCATTTTAATTGTATTGCAAATAGCTATTATCACTTGCACTCTCCCGAAGATCGAGTCATGTTATTTGGATGTAAGCATTGACAGCTATTAAATTTGGAAATTTACAATTACATCTGTGTTTAATTTGATGGAAATTGATAAACTCTATTATATGCTTAAAAGATTCAATTTAATAAATACTGTAAAATTTTCCAAACTAATTTGTCAGATGAAGTTATGCCAGGAAATATGTGACTTTTACTCACTATTAATTCTTCATTTCCATTTTTTGTTGACTTTGGTGAAGCTCTGACTTAATACCTCAGAATAAGGGACTATATTTTTGCAATAATTTCATTCTTCTAATGGCTAATCAGTCCCCCTCCTCTAATTACTATGCATGTGCAGATGGGGAGTGGATTTTTCCAATCTCACTTTCTTTATCATATTTCACATTTAAATCAATCTTTCTCAAAGTTTTAAGTGCCAATACATTTTAGATATATTTCAACTTTCCTTTTAATAATAATTCTACTATGCTCTCTGTCCAAGGATACATGCCTTCCATCCCCTAAAGTAGAGAATCCTTATTCTAATACTTGATAGAAAAATGTCACTTTGTTTTCCTTTCATCTTCATGAAAAATTAGTAACTTTAATAAGTAAAATAATAAATACAACAGGTGAAAAATAGTTTGTTCAAGACAATCTATCTATAACTGATGAAGTACAAAGAAATTTAGCAATGAGATGTATTTTTGATATTATAGTTGGAGGAAAGTTATCTTCCACCTAGATAGTCGTATGGGTTGATACCTTTCAAAATGTTGTCTTAGATTAGGATTTTAGGTCATAATTACATCAATATAACAGGAATTGCTCTGCACATGTCAGGATTGCAATTAACTTCTCATAGATAAAATAATAAGGGTAAAAAGCAATTACTTCCCTAGCTGCTAAGATTTATAAGTCTAACATCATCTTATTTCAGAAAAGCTGTATATGCATTAAGAATGCTTGAATGTATTTAGAATGTAAAAATAAAGGAGCAGGACAAACATTACAAACATGTAGTGTCAAGAAGTACAGCATAAAGACCGGAAGTTATCACACGTCACAACAGCTGGAATGTCTTAGGACACAAAGTTTATCATCAACTGGGATTCCAAAGAAATAGTACCAAATAAGCAATTTTCCTTTTGTGGGTATGACATCACTGACTAGGTCACCTGAATCAGCAATTTATTTGGAAATGAATTCTTTTCCAACTCAGTTCCAAACCCCGTTCTCTCTACCATCAAGTAATAAGAGACTGAAACTTCAACAGCAAACTTTCACTTACAGTTTAAAGCCTTTAAACTACTAAAGGAAAATGTGAGTTATTTTCTAAAAAAAAAAAAAAGTATTATTCGAACATCACCATAGTTTAGTGATGTCAGAAGTTGACATTTATAAGAGAAAAGCATAACTTTTGCAGAACAGCTGCTTAATTGCTTCTGATTTTTGCTTTTACAGAAGACATAAAGAACCTTTCCCAATATTTGTGCAATTTCTGGAAGGCAGTAAAAGTGGGATGATGTCATGTCCACAGTTGAGGTTTTTTTTTTTAACGAAGGCAGGAGCACCATGAGGTTTTGGTGATTTTTCCTAGAATTAGCCACAGGGTCCAGATTTGCTCTGTTCTATTCTATTGCAATGGCCTCTGCTCAAATTAGAAGAGCAAGAGAACTGCAAAAATTCCTCTTAATGATACCAGAATTTTGGACCTGGCATTCGAAGCATAGATTAAGCCCCGATTACATTGGCCCTACATCCTGTGCTAAATGCCTTGTGTTGGGGTAAAGGTCAGCACTCTTCTGAATCCTGTATACCCTAAGAGAATTTTTTCACGTACATTTCATCATATCACATAAGCCTAGACTTATTTACTTAGCACACAGCAATGTAGACGTACACACTCAAAATAAGAAGCAATACTGGAGCTACTTACATGGTAAAAACATCCAGTGTATCTCCAGCAGTCCTTGCCATCTCAAAGTACGTTTGCAGAATGTTGACAGTTCCAGAAAGGGCTTCATGACCACAACCACAGAACAGGGCAACACCCGCGTACAGCAGGATGGTGGCAATCAGAGAAGCGTAGGGAATGCCTCCCAGGCACTTAATACAACACTCAAAACACCCTGCAGAAGAAAAACAGGGGAGAGGTGAGAAATTTGTATGAATTATTCATCTAATTTGTTTTTGTTTTTGTTTTGAGACAGAGTCTCACTCTGTTCTCCTGGCTAGAGTGCTATGGCATCATCATAGCTCACAAGAACCTCAAACTTTTGGGCTCAAGTGATCCTCCTGCCTCAGCCTGCTAAGTAGCTGAGACACCATGCCCAGTTAGTTTTTCTATTTTTAGTAGAGATGACGTCTTGCTCTTCCTCAGGCTGGTCTGGAAGTCCTGAGCTCAAGTGATCCACCTGCCTCAGCCTCCCAGAATGCTGGGATTACAGGCGTGAGCCATCACGCCTGGCAAGAACATTACAATTCTTGTCTTCTAGCTGTTTTGAAATACATATAACTGCAATTTCCTACTGTGCTACCAAATACTAGAAGCTATTCCTTGTATTTAACTGTATTTTTGTACCTATTAACCAATTGTTCAAAGAGTGAGTTGAAATCTGCTGGTAAATTTTGAAAACTCAATTTAACAAACCTTGACCAATGAACTTTAAAAATATAAATACATAGAATAGACAATATCTGAATACATGGCATGTACTGAAAGATTATTTTTTACTCTTGTGCATTCAGATACTTATTATGTTACTTGTGTGGTAATTCATGTTTCTTGCTATTGGTCCATGATTTTAAAAAATGAGAAAGACACTGGCACAGTACAAAGGTAAGAGCAACAGACACGTAAACCAAAGTTATTTCATTGCTCTCATTATCTGTAATAAAGAGAGAAGAAGGGAATTTTCATCATATGGTTCTCATGAGGATCAAATGAGTCAAAATATAAAATAGTACCTGATATACAGTAACTACTCAATAAATGTTGGCTGCCATTGCTGGAGGTGATTTAGCCATTATCAGTACCAACTATTACTGTGCTGTCACATGGCTGTCAACACTTCTTTGACCACAGCAGTCAAGTTCCTTTTTGAAGTCTTGTCAACTAAGTCTTGTTGAAAGACAACAGTTAAGCATTTAGTCTGACCCATCAGAAAACCATGTTTACCATTCAGAATGTCAGAATTTTCTAGGTGATTACTAAATATCTTATAAGAAATTGACCAGAAATGCTTAAGTATAAAAGCTTTGCAATGAGAAATATTGATGAGATGGTTTGGGCCAGCCACTGAGGATGAAGGAAAATTTAGACAGCTAACAGGCTTAGAGTGTCCCGGAGGATGATGAGATCAGCCTCACACACACCCACTTCCATTCTGTCCACACACACCCCACCCCCACCCCCCTGCCCCATGGAACATCCTCATCCAGAGACCTCCTCCCACTTTCCTCTTTTTGGAAATTCTAGATCAAATCCCATTTTGTAAGGCTGAAGCCCCTCCCCGCACACACATAATAGATGATTTTTCTTTTTTCTTCAGAAACAAATAACAGAGAAGATTTAACAACAGATTGTTATTATTGTCTGTAAGTCACGGGAAGATCTGCTGACTCTTTATCTAGAAGTCATGCATGTACATGCAACACGCTAAGCAAAGTCCCTCTGTAAGTTTACTTTACATTTAGAGATCTAGTGGGCCTATTTTAGTGCTGCTCATTGAACTGGCCTTCGTGAGAATTATGCCCCATTTCACCTGCACCAGAGGAGCTTTACAAAAAGAGAGTCTGAACATTTCTGCACTTTAGTAGCTGTGGTTTGTATAGACGAAATCATTTCCTGAAATTCCTGTCCTCTCTCTCCCTCTCTCTCTTTCTAGCACATTCTCTCTCTCTCACAATGGGGAAGTAGAAAAGGTTAGAACAGCTTGAAACTTCATATAATAGGAAAAAATTCAAAAGCAGATGGCAGAGACCAAAGTGAGTAGTATCTGAATATCATTGAACACAGTCTAATGGGGTGGCAGAAAAATCTTTGGACTACTCTCTATCTCATGATGTTCCAATATTTACAACTCATTGATTATTTAAAAGTAACTTAAAAGAAATAAAATTAGTGGGGCAGTGGGCAGTGCCTGTGGCTCAAAGGAGTAGGGCACTGGCCCCATATATAGGAGGTGGCAGGTTTAAACCCAGCCCCAGCCAAAAACCGCAAAAAAAAAAAAAAAATTTGTACCAGTCCCAAGAAGAGCTACTCATAATTTTGATAAGCATATACCACATAGCCCCAGGAATTCCAAACCCCACTTGTGTATAATTTCTCACCCTTACTATTCTTGAAGCATTTGCTTGTGGTGAGGGGAGGTTTCTCCTACAGATAGGCATGTTTATAAAACTCCATCAGAACAGAGTAAGTTCATATATTTTAAAAAGAGTCCAAATACCAAATGCAAAGAGAGGAAAGAGTTCCCTTTGCTGGATGCTAAAGTGTATTAACTGAGTAAATATAAAATCACAGGAAGCACAAGAGCCTCAACTCATGGATAATCACCAAAACGACCACTGAGGACTTTGGGTTCACTTGATTACTAATGCAGACTCAGTTCTACCTATTTCCCATTTTCTCACACATGGATTGATTCCAGCCTTCATGTTGGGCTCTGCATCTGCTAGGGGAATGCTGGGGCCACTGCACAACAGCATCATATACAACTTCAATTGAATGGCAGCTTTCAATTTTACAAAAGCATAAGATAAATTCCAATACTACCTAACATCAAATTGACAACCCTTAGTTCATACACATTTCCAAATCACTTTAAGATCTCCAAGTGAAATGGAATTTATTTTAAGTCCTCACTTAAATGCTGCCATTTAAATCCCTCAGAATTATACTATTGCTATAGACAAATAAAAATTCTTTGAAACCTCCATCACTGCAAGGTCAAGCTAGAGTCTTGCAGTTTAAGACCTGAGTCTCCTCAAAACTTGAAGTACCTCACCACACATAAATCGGACTTGTAACGGGCTATAATCCTAATTACCACTACCCTTCCTCTTGCCTATTGGTTTTAAAAGAAGACTCAGAACTCCCATGTGGAGAAGCCGCAAATTATTTTAGTATTCCCTCCAGCTGCCAGAATCCCACGTACTTGCTGGCAGGGAAGCTTCCTTCCATCCACAGGGAGGACCAGACGTGGCAGAGCAGCAGTTTCGCCATAGCAACAAGGCCCTGGGCCCAGGACAGGCTCCTAACAACCATCCTTTCAGTCTGAGGATACCACTGCCCCCCACCCCAGCACCTCTTTGGTACTGAACTGCAAGTGAAAGCACTCTGTTAAATGGGTACTAGTGAAGGCACAATAAGTGGGATGAGTACTCACAATCTAGCAAAATGATCAAGGTTGCTTTGCACAGGAAACATTTTCCCATAGTGGAAATACTCTTAAGGATAATAGGGCCAGGTAGTGCCTGTGGCGCAAAGGAATAGGGTGCTGGCCCCATATACCAGAGGTGGCGGGTTCAAACCCAGCCCCAGCCAAAAACTAAGAAAAAAAAAAAAAGAAGAAGAAGAAGAAAAATAGGGCCATTAATTCTCCAATAAAGCTGATGGCTCAAATACAGAATACAGTATTTACATGTGACAGCCATTACCTATAGACACAAGCTTTTCTCATATCTGGTTTTTGGTACACTTTCACAAATTAAATGATACTCTTCCCTAAACTATGACATGAAGACAAACCATGAAAGAATCAGGAGATTTTCAATACACTGTCTGAGACATTAGAATTTGCCCAGTGTTTAGTGATGCTGGAGATGGACTTGTGATAATATAAACATTTTAAAGACGACAGAACATGGTACTCTACCAAGGGCAACAAAGTGAAACTCTGTCCCCAAACAAAAACAAAACAAAAAAACAAGCTCCTGAGCTATGTCAAATTTTTTTTTAAAAAAACAGAATGAGATGTTTAAAAAGATGGTAATCAACTAACTTCCATTTAAACATTGTGAAGTAAACATAATTGTGCTTTTGCTCACTCCACAAACTGCACCAAAATAAATAAAGGGAGAAGAATCCAAACCATGAGATAAAAACCATGCCACATAAACAGTGGGAGGTAAGATAACAAAATGGTTGATCCTGGAAAAGAGATTGGTGATCTCTTCATTGATCAATTGTTTTTAGTACTATTTACCAGAGAGGTGATTCTTTCTCCCCTGACCTCCAGTGTCACCGTTGTCATGATCAAGTACCCACAGAACTGTGGTTGGTTTGAGGGCCACCTCTTTTGTTGCATTGTTCTATCTTGTCTGTCCCTGGGCCATTACCAAATTGCTACCACGTAGTATGTCTTGATTTGTGGTGGAGAAATTCCCCCACTCAGTTCATCTTCCTCACACGTGTCACAGCTATTCATTGCCCTTTTACTTTACAAAATAAATTTTAGAGCCAGTTGGTCTGATCAAACAAATCAATTCATTGGGATTCTGATCGGTATTTTTATGTTGATGGTGTATTTAGAAACATCAATATTGTTTAGTTGATTCTGCGAATGATTTTGAGTTCATGGATTATTTTAAATATATGTTGATAATTACAATATCTGTGTCAACGTTGAGTTTTTTCATAATTTATTTATCTTTTGGTTAAATAAAATGCTGTGAAAAGCATAGAAGTAATGGGGGAAAAAGATATGTTTGTGTGTTCCTGATGTTAAAAATAATATTTGCCATGTTTTATAAGGTGGGACAATTAAGTTCTCATATGAATATTCATTGTTGAATAACTGTGGTCACTAAATGGCTAAGAGAAGCACTTTGAAGGTGGTCATAGTGACTGACGTTCAGCAATGAGGTATGCAGCACCTTTACTAGGATGAATTCGTGAACTTAATTGTCAGACCTTATACCATTAGTTGTGATTCTTACTGTGGTTTTGTTCATTAAAGACAGTCTCTATATTGGCTTGGTGCCTATTGTTCAGTGGTTAGGGTGCTGGACACATACACTGGGGCTGGTGGTTTCGAACCTGGCCCAGGCCTGCTAAATAACAATGACAACTGCAACAAAAAAATAGCTGGGCATTGTGGTGGGCTGAGGAGGCTGAGGCAAGAGA